CATCAACCTTGGGAAATGGGCACCTCTGAAATAATGATAACTTGGAATAATATAAAGAAAACTAAATAAGTTTTAATCATAAATTAAGAACTTACAAGACTATTAATATTATTTCTACCACACTAAAGGGCGCATTGTTCTATTAATGTTTAAAAGAAATAGAGTATTGTTTAGTATATTTAGCCCTAAAAAATATTTTAAATGGAGAAATTTGGTATATAAACATTGAAGTATTGATTAAACACTGTAATTATAATTTCAGTAATAGCATCCACACAGTTAAAATAGGCATGTAAAGTAATTAGGCTTAATAATAAATCGATCGAAAGACTAGTCCAGAAAGTACACTGAGACATGGGAAGAGAGAGGGGAGAATATGTTGATCAAATGATAAGGGAATATGTAGAGAGTGATTTTTGGTATCGACATTGAACCTTCGAATTCATTAATCCTCGAATTAGAATAATCTCGATCACGTGCTTTAAAAGATATGTTTATAGATTTCATCAATTTTAAATTGTCTAAAATTAATGTCTTATATAAAAAATAGGAAATAATTTTCCAAATGTAAACCTCTTTAGGCAATCACCCTACATAATTATCTTTTTTAAATGTTCATACCTCCTTTATAACGTTCGGCAGAAGAAGGCGTCAGCCCAGAAAAAAGTGGAATGGGCAAATAAAAGATTATGAATGAGCATGGTCGGTAAGAAGAACTCTAGATTGAAAAATATGGAAGGAATTTATAGTTTAAGGAAACCCATTGTTTAATGGGAAAGTCCGAAGTAAATAAATAAATAATTTTATTTATTTTTGAACAAAGTTTTTTTTTTTCTTGTGCCTCTTGACTTATGACTTCCACCATGAGTCTTTTAGCAGCTTTGGGCTGTAATAGGCGGAAGTTGTGATCGTTTGGTTCTCTTCAAGCGTTTAGTTCTCTTGAAGATATCTAAAAAGAACGTGGTTTATAATAACCGGACGTCATCATAATCACTCCTTCTTTATCAGACACTTTCTTGAAGGATGGTTGCCAACTGTTTGCTGAAATCTGCACCTTGCTTGATGTAGTTTGTTATAGACGGGAACATTTCGCTTCGTGTGTTTTAAATAAAGTAAAAACAATTAAATCGCAATTTAAAAAGTATAATATTTTAGCTAGATTTGGAGGAGAAAGGGGATTTAACATAACTGTTTTCGAATTAGCCTTTTTTTCATATTCAGAACTTGATTCTACTATTTATTGGTTTTCCATTTTAGTGATTGAAAAATAATTATCTTCAATGCATAGAGTTGACATTTAACTCGGGTTGATAACTCTTTAAGTAAACAACGATCGCTGTCGTAAATTAACTTCCTTTTTAAATTAACGTTGGCTTAAATGATTAACTAAAAAATAATAGTTCAGGTACATACAGTATATCATACAAATGTCCCTTAAGTGATTCCTTGTATTATTTGTGCAATTAGTATAATTGGTGTAATTATTTATTCACAATGTTTAAATAGATCCTTTATGAATATATGTACTGGATAATCATGATATTTGTTCTATCCGATTGAAATTCGGTTAAGTGAAAGGCAAGTATAACAACAAATTATTTTATTTAAGCTTCAGCCATTAGAAAAGACAGGCAAAGGGCAAGCCATTGTGAATCAACAATGATCTGAGAGCTACTGAATAAGAAAAGTCAGTTGTAACAATTTATAATAATAAGATTGAACCATTACACTGTCTTTACAAGTGTTTACAACTTTACAACATCTGCATTAGACAGGTAAAGTTTTGGCATAATATGTAATGGAATCGAGTTTATTAGGTGGGCTGATAACTATTTTAAATAAACTCATAACGTAAAATTACAATGGCATGGTGTTTAACCCTCGACTAGACCGTGATATTTAAGGTGATTGGCATTTTCCGGAAAATGTCAGATAATAATTCCCTCCTCCCATTCATCTTGTTAACCTACCAACACATAACAATATAAAAGTTCAAACTACTAATGGAAACAAATAATAATATATTGTTTAAATAGATTCCCCCGATATGTAATTTTATTCGAATGAATGAATAGATCCACATTACACGGGGTTAAAATACAATACAAACGCGCAAATGTATTTCAGTGAATATAGAGTAAACTGGAGAAACAGTTTATTTCTTGTCGAAAGGGGACCCAATGGTCATTGCTTCCACCACCTAATACATTATGTAGCAGGGTCTTCCACCAGGTCGTTTACCTAACATCCTCCAGGTAAAAGGGAAATTTATTGGAAAATAAAAACTGTTTGATTTACCAATAAATCTAATCATTGTTTATGTTGAGTTAGCATAACGGATAAATGCAGTTTATTATTAATTTTGAATCTAAAAACCTTATATACCCAAACATACTTTTAAAATGTCAGTCCTTTTCATTCCTTGTCTATACTTTCGCCAGTTACTGGACTATACCAGGCTGGTCTCTGGAAAGTGGGGGGGCAGGAATACAACGGAAATGAGGGGTTGAGATGGCCTTTAATATATGGCCAAGGTAAACATGTTAATGTTAATGACCACTCAAATAAATTTATTACTTATCTAGTTTATTTTTGATTCCATACACTGGAGTTTTCAAAAACATTAATGTATACTGCCCAAGAGCTTATAAGTCATGAAATGTCTTGTTCTTCTGCTTCTAAAGACCACAATGTCCCATATTCCCTTTCATTCTGCCACTCAATTGCCTAACATCTTCCTCTTCATCACCCCTTCTTCTTAACTTTGGTCGTCCCTTCAAGTGGCGAAACTTCATTCTTAGTAGATCTTTGTCTGTTTGTTCTTGCTCATTCGATTGGCATAACATATAACAGTCGAATCATTCTGAATGAATAGGTCTTTAAATTACTCTATATTTTTTCCCCAATATTCACATTTTTAATTTGTATTTATTTGTTATATAAACATCATATAAGTTTTAAATTCTTCTGAGTCCAAATTAAAGTAACCTTTAATAAAGATTTTGTTAAAACGCTTAAGCAATATTGCATTAATCCTGGGGAAATAACTTACATGGAAAAAATATGTTATATATATATATATATACATGATCCAATTCATTTAATAACGATAGTTAAGTGACTTTTTTTTATGTCATTTCCCTTTACATGTAGCTAGTAGCTGACGGATAAACCTGTAATATAATTCCTCCATAAAAATTATTAAAAAAAAAACTTAGAAAGACGCATTGATAATTTATTTTCTTCCTACTCTCAGCACCATTCATATAGTTCTCTAAAGAAAAAATTCTGAAGAGGTTACTTAAAAGGATTATTATATAAATAAAATAAAGAGATTTGTATAATAATCCTAAATAAACAATAAGAAAATATCAAAAATCATGCTTATATTATACATATGTATAATAATAATAATAATGCTTTATTTATATTGGGACGCCTCCCCTTAGAAGACAAAAATGTAGCCTAAGGAGCCTCAGAGATATATAAATAAAAATATGGAGTAAGTGAATAGTCAAAATAAAAAAAATAATAAAAGAAATTATTTCTAATTTAAATCAGTTAATAATAATAAAAAAATGAAAAATTGAAAATAAACATAAAGTAAAAATAATGAGGAACGATCTGATAATTTATACACATATTTACAGTAGTAACTATTTACAATTTCATGGGGACTGGATGGATAAGAAATGATTGAACAGGCGGTTCTTAAAGGTAGGAAGAGTTTTGGATTGACGGATGTCGAGAGGAATGGAGTTCCATACGGTTGAGGATCGGATAATGATATATATATATATATATATATATATATATATATATATATATATATATATATATATATATATGACTTATATATTATTTTTATAATTAGATACACTAATAAACGGTTTCTCTGAGTCATTCGGGATTCTTTTGTGTTGTTTTCATTTAGGAAGAATAAATTTCAAAATATAAAATAATTTATTTCATTATGAAATAATCATGTCTTGATTGGAATAAAAATATGGAGGATGTAATAAAAAAGTATTTTAAAAATTTAGAATATTCTTTTATAAGGAGGAACTCGTGCCCTACGTGTCTTTCCATCTAGGTCCACCAATGCGATAGCCGATAATCGTTGATCCTTCAATCATGAATGGATAGTGAATAACAAATCTTTCTATAAGCTCAGATACCTCCAATCTAACTGAAAATTGATTAATACAAACCATTGTATTCAAAAGATACCAAATATGGCATTACTACGTTTCAATTTCATGCTGATTAAAAAGCCTTTATTATTATTTATTAGTCTTTAAAATAAAGAAATTTTGCATCAGAATTCTGGAAAACAATACTGGATCTATTCTTATAAACCGTAGCACAAAAGCATAGTAGATTTGGCAAGCAATGTACATTTGGCAAGAGGTCGTAAAATAATTTGGGCGAGAGGTTCGTGCTATCAGAGGGGTAGGTAAGGTCTAACTTCAACAACAGATCAGATAACATTGTTGCATACCTGTTCCAGACAAAGGTGTTTTGTTCCAGAGCTCATTCTATATTTAGATTTTAATTTTCATTTACAATTTCAAATAAACAGTATGTAATTATTTTATCAACAGATTAAATGTATCAAGGCAAGCCCTACCTCTATTCCTGAAAGTTGTACGTATCAGAATAAACCTCTTTCATAATGTTTTTATTTAATATATAGTTACACTTTTTGTTGGATAAAAAGCGTTTCCAAAGCCCAAATTTGAAATCTGTCATATTTCAGAAACCATAAATAATGTAATATTATCAAAATTATGATTTTATTGATTCAACTGATAATTATAAAATGAACAATCAAGTTATCAATACCAATTATCATTTGTTCCAACAAATCAAGTTACAAGGTTTACACCGGATAAAAATCTAAAAACATTAATAACAATGTGCAAATAATCCGATTTGATTTTTCATAACATTTCTAAGTATTTACCAAAAGGAGATAATAACAAAAATTATTTTTTCAGGTTAATGAATTGAAAGAGAAGCTACAAGCCATTGAGGAGACAGGAGTGGCCTATGAGAAGGAAGTAGAGAACATGAGAAGACTGAAAGGACTTTATGAAGAGAGATCTCGAGCTATGGCCATCAGCCATCAGATGGAACTAGAAAGGGAAAAGGCGAGAGTGGTCGCAGTAGAGACGAGGCTGGAAATTGCAGAAGAGAAAAACAGGGAACTTATAGATGGCAAGAAGGAATTAGAAGGGAGAATTTCCGCACTTGACGCTACCGTGGACAAGAACAACAATGAGATCAGTGAGCTACGAGTACAGCTTGCGGGGAAAAAAGAGGAACTGTATACCGTCACATCACAGATGACGATTGTCAACAACCTCTTCTCCCAGGTATTGCTAGATCCTGAAAACTTAGACAGGGTCAACAGGGTGTTAGAAGAACATCACAATCTCGTCAATCATCTTACTGAAAAAGGAAAGATTACAGACGTTGCTTCTGTCTTAATGACAGTCGCAGACAAAGATCATGTCTTAACGCAGGAAGAACAGGTTATAGCCACAAATCTAAGCAAAGTTTGGAAGCTACTTGTCGAACTGCTTGGGCACCACAACAAGCAAGCAACAGAAGACACGATGCCGGACAGCTGTTATAAAAGCGTCGACACACCTTCAGGGCCAAAGCTAGTTATAAGCGTATCTAAAACCTTTCTCCGCCTAAAAGACTTAATATTAGAGAAGAACAGTTTGGTAAAAGAGGTTGGAAGGCTAAAAGATCTCAATTGCCATCTTGAGAAACGACTTATATCGCAAGAAACAAGGCTGGCTGAAGTAGCTGAAGAACTGCACAAAACATGGGGTGTAGTGAACAAACTAAAAACTCAGCATAAAGCCTTACACACACATGAACAGGTTCTGAGATACGAACTGAAACATAAAAGACTGATGCTGAATGAATTGAAACAACAGCTGGAAGACTGTCGTGAAATGTGGCAAATGGCCCGAGTGAAAAACAGCCAAACAGAAAAGGATTGGATCCTTCTAAGACAAGAATTCGCAGAAAGGAAGCAACAGGTATCAAACGCAGAAAGTGGATACGAAGAATCTCCAGGTGACTCCCAAGACGAAGAGGATAGTCACAAATTATCTGAAGACGAAGGGGAAGCAGATTCTCCTGAACCTGTTTCGGACGCTGTAGATGAATCAGTCATGTCTGGTTGTACATCAGATAGGCCAAATACACCTGAAGGGTTTACTTTTCAAGATGCAAATGTAGAAAAAACCATCGCACCTTCAGAAAACATTGACAGTCATAAAGACACAAATCATTTACTCGATGATTCGTCGAGTTCAAATACTGCTGATCAAGAAAAGTTTGTTCAGAATGCCAATTTAGATAAACATATTTCCAACGTACCTCCTTCTATCTCCGTCCAAGGTATAGAATTTGAAAGCAAACAAGACAGGTTATCTCCAGTATTGTCCGAAACTACCGAAGACTTAATAGAAGAAATGCCAACTACTATAAGTATACTTCCTTGGGACGAAGCTGAGCCTCCTTTAATCCACTCAGAAAATGTAAATCCGACAAAGGATATTCTTGTACAGTCCTGTGAAGTATTACAGAACACGGGTTCAGACTCAGTGGAAGTACAAAACCCTGAAGCTAGTTGTTCCTCAAATGAATCGAAAGATGCATCAACCACACAGGAACAGAAAAAGTCCACTGCTGAAGAAATTCTAGCAAGACGAGAAGCGCGACTAAAAAGACTAGAAGAACAATGTAAACACCTATTTAGTAAAATGAACAACACCAACATGAGAAGTGAAATTATATCGAATAAATTGGTAGAGCTTCATGAACATTATGGAGAGGGCCGAAGTGACGTACAAGATCAGGTGTCAGAGGGACTAAACCCTGGCACACCGGACTCCATTCATCGCGTCCCTTCAGTCACCATTCAGCCTCATGGTTCTGAAGATGAGTCGCCAAACAGGATATCGACTGAAGAGGAAGTCACTGACGAACCAATGGCCAGTGACGACAAGAGGGTTGAACATTAATATCGGTTAAAGCAGTTTGTCTTTTCAAGGTTCATACAGTGGGGACATGTGCCTGTGACCTATCAGGAATGAACGATGGACCAACTATTTCCTTAGTCGATATTGTGATCGAAAAATGTCTTTTCATGTGATGTATTAAACATTGTGTATTTGTATTCTTCCTTATATGTATGTATAAAGTCTATTGAGCCAAACATGATGGCATAGATATGTATGTAATATATAAATATGTGTTATGGAAATAAATAATTTTTTACTTGTTGTTATTACACCATCATATTAATTAGCAAAAGAACATTCCAGTGCAATCCATTTAAAACAGATATTTTATTAAAATATAAAACTACAATGTTTTGTAAAAACAGCATTATCTAAAACAGATGTACTGAAAGAAAGATTATTGTGAAAGCTCGGTCTAAAACCTTTTTTCATCTAAATAAATCTCCACATTCTTACTCGCGAGTGTAAATACTCTTCGACATCAAGTTTAAGTAACGAATACGAAAATCACATTTTAAAAAAATAATAATTGCAGAAAATTATAATTAATTATGAGGTAGTTATAAAAATATAATTCATAAAATAATAAGTTAAATAGTAAAGAAAAGCGTAAAAAAAAAATAATACAAACAATGAAATGAAATTTATATTTTAAACGACACATTAAACGTGAGCAACTTTTTTCAGTAAACAGTCATGGTTTAGGATTACAAGAATATAAATAACTAATACTTTACAGATGTGTATGTGTATATATATATAAACATGTTGAAAGATTAACATTAGGAATCATCCAGAAAACAACAGTATAAATCCTAACTCCAGACAAGAAAGACCAATAAAAATGACGAGCTATAGTTTCTAGTCATAGAATCCTACCAATCATGGAAATGGCAAAAGCTATTTATTATGATCGATAGCGTAAAATAAAATAAATATAGTTAAATAAAAATATATATAGTTAATAAAAAGAAAAACTCAATTATCTGGAGAATTATGATTTTTTTATTATATAAACTAAGTTGACAAAAAGAAAGTTGGAAAGCGATTAAAAAAAGGTGGAAGGTAAGGTAATTAACTGCTTTAATGCGTGCTGACTGCGTTTATGGACATTCGCCAGAGGTAAGCGAAACAAAATACAAGAATAAACGAAAAGATAACTGTAGTAGTATAACATAAGAAAAATTAAATCAACAGAATAGTGGATATGATTATAATAATAATAATGTAAGTAATAATGAAAATATACAATAGAATAAAAGTTTGAATTAAAATCAAATAAAAAGCAAAGGATTTTTTTATCAGCCCAATCACCTCTTTGATTAAAAATCGCACATATTACATACATTGCCATTATATACTACAGTCTTTGACTTAGTATATTAGTAAAATGACTTTTTTTCTTTAAACTATAAAAAACTGTAATAAGTGCTACAGCACAAATACAGAAGACAGCATTGACTTACATGAAGATCAAATTTCGATTCGGTGAAATAAACCTACCTGTTATGTAAGTTTTTCAAAATAAATATTTAATGAAATGTGAAAATTAATCTTCAATTAAACGTATTGTAATGTATTTTTTTCAACATATTTAATACAAAAAATCTAGTGCGTCTACTCACACGACTTTCCTACCGATTTCAGAACAGTTTTGATATCTTTAAATATATTCCTTAAAAAACAAAACAAATGGAATTAGATTTATTTCCCTAAAAATTGATCAAAGAAAAGATTTGAGTACGATTTATTTGATAAACTAAAGTAATATAAATTGGCTTGTGTAAAATCAGCGTTAAAAAATCAGTTGGAGTTCTCTCACCAGATTGTAAATATTGTATACAGGTATGTATGTGTTCTTTTTATTCATTTATTTTTAGGTTACTTTATTCTTATTTATTGTATATATATTATTTTTCTGTATAATTTATTTTTTTTACTGTACATAGAATGTGTATGTGATCTGTGAACACTATTATAAATGTCCTTAAGACAAATTGTAATATTTTTCAATAAAAAAGATTTTTAAAAAAAAATCAGTAAACTCTTACATTGCTAAACCATAATGTTTTTGCAGTAGCTCAATTTTGTCAGAGAATAATTTATGTTAAAAGTAGAAGGGAAAGTGAAACTTGTTTGATGCAGGCACTAGATTTTTCACTTTCTCTCACTTTTCTCTTTCTCTCTCTATCACTTCTTTCTGGCACTGGGATTAGATCTGGGAGGACTTGTAATCTTACATATGAAATTAAAATAGCTGTAATTTCGTTAATAGTTGTCCGAAATGAACGATTTTCATATAGTTTTGTAAGGATTTTTATGTAGTTATTACGGAAACGTTTATATGGGATTCAGAACAGTGCTAACCTTTACAGCGCTACAGTCATTAGAAGCATTTTATTTTCACCGCACATTGGAAATTTGACCCGATCGCAATACTTTCCTTGCCTAGTATAGGTAGGAAAGTAAAAAAAAAAATGATCAAATTTACAGCAATGTTTTTAATATGCATTTTAAGATTAATTTTTAAAAAAATATTTTTCAATGCTTAAAAATCTCTGTTTCAAATCAGCTTTAAATTTTATTTAATTATTAAAAAAAAAAAATCATGATTTTTTCAATAAGAAATTTCCTGTAATTTGATTCCCAACAGTTTTATTTTAATTTGTATGATCTTTTTTTTTCAAGGCTGAGTTGAGTAAGAAGTTCGATACAGTGGGGAAAAAATACATCATAATTGCGAAAAGAAATATAATATTGGCCATTAACCGATTCGGAGAATATTTTTGAGCGCTATTTTTTTAATTTATTTTTTTTTTTATAAATTAATAACAAGCCAATTATGAACTTGGCTTCTGAACCGAAAAGAGAACAAAGCAGATGTAATAACTGAGGTTTCGCTTCAATAATATTTTTCCTTTTATTTTTCAAATGTCCAACCACAAAAGGTCAAAGGAATGTAAATAGGCTTAATATGTTGTTAAGTGGTGCTTATGATCTTTCAGTCATTCACAAGAGGGCGTCACTAATCCCCTTTGTTCTTAATTTAAACATTGTTATTAGTTTAAAATTTAATTGTTTGGTGCTGATGGAATACTTATACGTGTGTATATTTTGTTTTGTTATAAATTTTTCAAATATTATATTAATCTGATGTTTTCTGTTTGCAATACATTTTATTAGGAAGTAGAAAAACAGAAAAAATGTTTTGTTTTTTAATTGAGGGTTGATGGTTAACAGTAGTGAATAATGAAGAGAAGGAGAGTTGGAATGATCAGTCAAAAATAAAAATAGCAAAAAAAAATGATAATATTTATTTTAACATTTGCCGACTTTTCGGCCCGAAGTTCAGGCCTTCATGAGGGCTCAGAAAAGAACCAAATAACAATTGGTGTGAGAAACATAAACAATGTAGGTAAAAAAAAAAACTTAAAGTAAAATGAAATAGATAAGTGAACATTAAAGTAAAATAAAGTAGATAGAATAATGACAATAACAAGAACTAAGAAATAAATAATAATAACGGTTACAAAGCGTGGACAAATGATGTAAACATAATCAAAATAAGATAACATAAGTACTGAAATGGTAATCTTAGAATAAAATGTAAAACTGAGAAAAGGAATATGAATATAAATAAGAAATTACATATATGAGAAATAAATATAAATAGAAAAGTTGAGATATTGTAAATAGAATAGTTAAATAGAAAATTGAGATATTGTGGTCTGTCAAAATGTACTACGTATAAGGGAATACAGTGTTAAAATAAAGTAAAAAATAAATGAGCAAATGTATCAATTTTTACAAAGTGGAGATGAAAACATGGAAAATAGAGTGAAAAGGAAAAGGAAGGAAGATAAATTAATAATGTTATAATTATTATAAATATACTAATAATGTTTTGTTTTTTTTGTTTAAATATTATAAAGGAGGCTTTGAAGAATAAGCAGTTATTTTATAAAAATAAAATATATAATTAACTTGAAGACTATTTTAACAACATGAAAATAAGAACAGAGATAAGATAAATATAATTTGAACTAAATCATATTAATTTCTAACTGTGCTTAACAGAAAAAAGATAGACAGTAAAACAGAGCAATGAAGAGCTATAATAGTTATTCTTTCAAAATAAATTATCTAATTTATTAATAATTTATAACAAACATGCTTTTTTAGGTATGTTCGTTTTTAATGTTTATTACTTTTAGATGATCCTGCAGTAGATCATTAGTAATGAACATTCAACTTATAAAGGCTATCCCTTGGGACCGTTAGCATTGGACATTCATACAGCAAGATCTTCTTCTTTACGGAGGTTACTCTTTACTAGAGTGACTCTTTACAGTTTACCATGTAACTTGATCCCTGCCAACAATATTTTTGCGATTTCGCTCTGCTCACAAATCAATTTCTCCAAATTCAAAAGATTCCTTTAACTTGGTAGGTCAAATCGTATTGTGGTACAATGCCAAAAATCTTTATGAGACAATGGTTAATTTTAAGAGCTTTATCTTAGTGGTTGTGATCTCATAGTCTAACCTGATTAGGTAACCTGACATGCAACAGGTAAGGTATAGGAGGTGCTTAGAAAAAGTCATTCTAAACAGTTTCGATTATATCCATATATAGCAAGGCTCCATATTTGACTCTCACACAATGTAAATGAGACACAATGCGTCAAATGTTTTAGCTCTTGTGTTTCAAGTCTGGCCTCTCATTGGAAGAATCTGCTGTGTGCGGGCTGCTTCCTCCTCTAACTTCCTCTTTAAGATATATCTGTCAATGAATGCAAAAAGAGTGGAAGAGGGAAAGGGTATTTCAGTACAACTAACTGACGGGAGTGAGACAGGATGAAAGTCTTTCTTCTTTTTAACACCAAAGGTCTAGACTCTAACTTAAAAGATAATAGTGCAGAAGATATTAATTTGGACTCCGCGACAGATATTGACAGGACTTGGAACACACAGATTAGGCCAGCTTAATTTCAGACAATACTAGTGTAATAATAGTGATTATTGGAGTAATATTGAGAAAACCATCCTTTAACTGTCCATACCCTAAAGTAAAATATAGTGGAGTTTAAGTGAAGCGCGAAGAAGATCAAGGAAATATTTATCTATAAGGGCCAGTGAGAGAAGTTGGTAACACCATAAATTATTCCAAAGAATAATTTTCTTTTCAGTTTTTTTGGATAAGATATTTACATAACAGGAAGCATTAATGCCCCATCTTTCAGTAAGTATTTAGCTTCAGCTTGTTCAAT